AAACGGCCACACTTGAATTTCCCTTCATATTCCAAAAGCGATGAGATTTCAAGTTCAAATTCGTCTTCTTCGACTTTAATTCTCGTTCTTTTCAGATTAAATTGCTCAAGGATTTTGATTTTTCGTTTAAACTGGTCTAAAATTTCTTCTAATATATCTTTATACTATCATCTTTATCATTCGGTTTCAATTTCTTTATATCTTTGGCCTCCGTCCTCAATACCTTTCGTTTCGATTTCAGTTTAGCAATAAGATCTTCCATATTATATAAAAATAGAAAATACAGGCTTACCTTGGCTGCTTCGCATAAAATGATATCCAAAATTAAAAAACACAAACTTCTAAATTGGCCAAAGGTTTCCGGCACCGATGCGCCATACTGCGAAAGGTGGATCTAATTCTAAATGAAGTGAAATACTTCAACAATCTACAAAAGTAATCATTTTATTTACAAAGCAACTTTGATTGCATCGAAGGTCCACTGCTAACTAACTACGTCGCAAACTAAAAACTAACATTCCTTTTCAGAAGCGAAGCGCCCTCTAACGGCGATACATCATTTGGGGGATTTTTCCACATATATTGTCTAAAGAAAAATGTGCTGATTACTGGAGAAAACTGAAATTTGATGGTTAAATGTTGATTAAATAATTTGCAGATAATTAACATTGCTTTTTATATTAAAAAATTCTAAGAATCGAGCTCTACTGAATCTTAATTTCTAAACATTAGATATAATATATATTATTAAACATCTTGAAGTGTTTATTGTTAGAACCAAGCCTCTGTTGTTATCTTTCTTTCATAGCTTGTCATTGTAAGAGTGGCAATCTTCTGATCTTTGCTGTAGTTTGTTGCTGTTCTACGGATTTTGAAAATAAACATGCCGCTTTGGAGTGTTAGATGTAAAACTGTTTTATTTTAAGTTTATTAGGAGAAAGGAAATCGGTTAGTTCTTGCAAATCTCGAATATTTATTGCTCTCACATCATTCCTGGATATCATTCCTGGATGCGCGGATATCATTTCTGGTCAAATAACAGATACTGGCAACTGAAAGAAATATTTATTACAAGTCTTATACGTAATAGATCCAGGGAAGTAAATATTAAGTTATATCTTCAATAATGAAGTCTTTTATGAAAAAAATAATAAATGCATAATTTTCCTGGGTTAATATTTCATAATCGGGGTGAGTGCCAAACTTGGCGAAAGTTTTTATTTGGCGCGATTTTGATTTGGTTGTGGTTTCCGGCTGTGTGTTTTCTTGTGGCTTTAGGGGAAAGTGCAGAATCGCCCACTGCTTCGCGCGTTTTCCAAAATCGCCAATTTGGCGCGCTCTTGAGTCTTGTCTCCAGGATTTGCAACCCCTCCAGAAGACACTACGCAAGGCGCGACATTTACATTGCGTAGTGGCGAACAGGTAAAATAAATACAAAATAAAAGTTAAAGCAAAATTTTGAAAATTGAAAATGCTTTTGAAACAGCATAATAATTTTAAAAAACAAGCATGATTAAGAAAACATAGTAAGCTTCAAAAACTTAAAATAGTTAGAAAACCCTGAAGAATTAAAATACATTCGCCTATAAAAAAATTTGGGAAAGTGCAGAATCACCCACTGCTTGAAGCGTTTTTAATTTTAAATTTAAGAATTAAATTAAGTTTTAAATTTAAGAATTGCACACACTCGGTATCCATTTACACATCGAACTATTTTCACTTAAAAAAAAATCCCAGAATTGCACAAAAATGGCATTGCGTACTCCCTTGACTTCATCACACACATATACACATCGATCTATTTTCACTTAAAAAGTCAAAGAAAATTGAAGTGGGCTATTCTGCACTTTACCGAAAACATTTTTTAAACTTGAAATCCTTTCAAAAGAACCTAATAAACTTTAAAAGCTAAAATCGTTTCAAAAACATAGTAAGTTTAAAGAACATAAAATCCTTACAAAACCCTGAAAAATTAATATTTTCACTTTCAAAAAATTTAAAAATATGAAAATCCAGTCCTTACAAAAACATAATTTTAAAAGCTATAAATCGTTTCAAAAATATATTAAGTTTCAAACACTTAAAATCGTTACAAAACAGTGAAAAATTAAGATACTTTCACTTACCTGAATGTAAAAAAGGCTGTATCTCCAAATGTGCCCCACTTAGTCTTTAAATTATTATTAGTGTGGACCGCGAATATCGATGTCTGAAACATCGTCCTCAAAAGGTGTTTTATAAAATTCTTCTTAGAGGCGTCGGATTTCGTAAATTGGGGGTGGGGGGGATAAATTCTTGCGATATCATCAAGAAATGATTTAAAAACGTCATTTTTAGCGGAGTGCTCTTTTTTTGCAAATAAATTCGTACAGATAAGAATCAAACATATCTTCAGTTCGATTTTTAGAACTTCCATGAAATCGTTTGATTCCTGCCCACACACCCTCAATGGTATTAGTATGCGTACCTGTTACCAAGCACATCGTATGTCAAACTGTAGTTTACCTCTAAATGCCGAAATCCTTCTTCCCGACATTTATAGGCAGCCCAACAGTCGGAATTGAGTGTGGTGCCAGGCAACACTCATTCACTAATTACATGAAGCAAGCAGGCACTCGTTCGATTAAGAACCACTTTAGAAAAACATCTGTGGGTATCTCTTTCAATTCCTCTAAACACCCATCTTCCTTTAAAGGGCCTACCTCTTCCATACTTCATTTTCCCAAAATTACTTTCATCAATCTCAACAATCTTTCCCACCCCTCCAATCTTGCAACTATCTCTCACCATAACATGAATACATATTTCTCTACAGAAATTATACCAGTCGACAACCGTGTGTTTAGAAACATTCAGGTTTTCAGTTGCATATTTCTGAGGGCACCTTCCAAACCACTTTCGTATCACTAATAAAACTGTGCACATATCCAAATTATTCAAACCAAACCAAGACCCTTTCCATACACTCCTACACACATCGTGCCTTTCCTCTTTCACACTAGACTGATTCCTACAAAGCCATTCATAACTATCATTTATTGCCTTTTGACCCTTTCTTTCTCTCAATTTCATGCTTTTCCCACATTTCGGACATGCATACGATGATGGAATCAACCCCTCTTTCATACACCATTCTAAAACAGCTTTCTTCCCTAAAGCAGGCAACATGGCAAAAACTAAAATCTTTCAGAATATTCAGCACACTTCAACATGCATTCATTCACATTTTCAACAATACTAATATCACTGAAGGCCATTTGTGAGTACCTGTAAAAATTTACTACGAACATATTGTGAATTTGAGTTTCAGAAAGCAGCGCCTCCTTTTACTCTGTATCCCGTGAAGAACATCAGTAAAACAAAAAGACGAACAAATTTATGCGAAGAAAAGTTAATTTACCTGAAAAGGGGTAATCTACTCCGCTCAGCCGAAGAACAAAAAGTAACGAATTCTTAAAATGTTCTCGAATTATTGTTTAAAATTAACTGCACCTCTACCATCTATTATCGTCTACACCAATCAAAAATTCTAAATTTTAAAATACATGCTGAGCACGCGCGAAAATGCTCCGAATTTCGCGCTCAAAAGAAATTCTCAATTTAAAATACATACTGAGCATACACGAAAATGCTCTGAAATTCGCGCTCTTCCAGAACGGCAAAATCTACTTGGATACCACATTTGGCGCACTTATCAATCTCAAAAAAAGCGCCAAACACAACGCGCCAAATAAGTGGGCGATTCTACACTTTAGCCGAGCTTTATTTCGGTAATTGTAAGAATGCGAATTTAGTATAGACAGATGATTTTTTTTTTTTTTTTTTTTTTTTTTTTTTTCTTTTTTTTTTGAAATAATGGTGTTTGTTTTTAAATGTTTATTGTTTATTATTATTATTATATTTGTAATAATAAAATTCCATAGTCAAGATTACACTTAAAATTCTAACTGTATGTTCTTTTTTTTTTAATGGCGACGTTCTCTATTTGAAAGTACGTGGAATTAAATCCACAGCCCCGTAGTCAACTGTTTTTTCCCGCCTTTCTACACGTACAGTTTAGAATGTTCTGGAAATATTTAAAAGCGAATTGGATTGGCTGATGTCATTTCTTGGAAGCTCCGCCTTTCCAGAGGGTATAAAAGAACTCGCAAAAGGAATATCGGGGCTTTTTTCTTAAATGCCACGATGCAGTAAACTTCATACAAAAAGTTACTAGTAGTTCTTTTTTATTTACTGCGGATATCCGATTTTGTAACTGCTATTTCTCCTGACCAATAATAAATGAATCCTGTTTTTTAAACTTATCGTCTGATAATTTAAGCTACGACTAATTTGATTCTTTCAACAATCTATTTATTCCTGACAAAGGGTACATCATATATAATAAATATTTGTAGAAGGTTAGCTTTTTGGTGAGAGAATTGGATTTCATGAACGTGAAGTTATGAATGTTTTCATTTAATTTTATTTAGTTAATTTTTTTTCGAGTTTTGTTTCTTGCATGTGACAATCAAATGATGTGGAATATTTTAAAGTTTTGAACGAAATTGTTTAGTGTATTGAATTCCACGACGCTCTTTTATCAGTTAATCAATCTCATTGTGTTTAGACTATTCGCTGTTTGCACATAATAATAGCTGTTCACCACTGTAAACAAAAAATGTGTTATTCTGTTTATGTTTAACTCAACTCGCTTTGCAGTAGTACTCTGATCTGATAAGTGCATATATTTATTAACTCAATAATTATTTACCAAAATTGTTCATTCTACTATTTTATGATGAATTACATAGAGAGTACTATGTTTTTACTTGCAAAGCTGTTGGACTCTGTTTTACTCATCTAGTATTTTATCTTCTCATTTTACTATTCTGTTTACATAAAAATACGGTTTGGCGCTACTGAAAAACTTATGGAATATTAGCCTAAGTTTTGCCGGCGCTGGCGATGAAGTCGCCAATTGGTACAACCGATTGCCAAACGGATATCCTCGTTGGTACCTTTTACGCCTCATTTCAAAACAGTCGCAGCCATTTCTTATCAGATAGATTGTTCTTTCATGTGGCATACAATTACATAGAAGTTTTACCAGATAGTTCATTTTTATGCCCTAAGGCCATTCGCGGTAATAAGTCAATTAGTAGGCAATTCACCGCACTGAAAATATAGAAAGGCAAAGTCAAGGGTTAAATTCTCATTCTAATGAGAATGCACTAGCGAAGTAAACTTTGCGGTTTACATAATTTCCGAGTAAGCTATTCGTGCGAATTGAAATAATTTTGCATTTAACGTGTATTCCAACTAAATTTAACTTGAAATTAATAGTTAATTAGATTTTTGTAGCGTAGTTTACGTGAAATGAGATCTCTGGGGTCACGGGATACGAACGGCGAATCAGGATGTTGAACAATAAAGCAAGTAAATTTTTAAATTATGTCTTTACAAATTTATTGTCTTTATTTATTGGCTTTTTAAAATTTTAAACGCTATTAAAATAAATAATAAAAAATTTTACTTTATAATATCAAATAAAAAATCTTATTCTTGTTAACATTTTTTTATGTGTATACTGTATGTTGTCGCCATAAGTTGCTTGGCGAATTTGCGCCGGCAAAACGGAAAAGTACCCTTAAAAGTTACTATGCTGTTTACGTTTAAATATCACATCTTAGTGCTTTCATTGCCGTCAAAATAATTTGGCTCCAACTTATCCCGCTTACGGAATATTAGTCTTTTCCTTCAATAGGGCACTACTAATTTTAAAACTAAAAAACGTTTAAAACGTTCAAATATATAATTTTTTACTCTGTACCTTTAATTCCTTGAAGATTAAATCTGAAATAAGCTGACAAATTTTAGCTAATTTGCTCGAAACTATTTTACACCCTTAAATGCAATCAGTTTATGAATATCACAGCCTATTTTAAAAAAATTACATTAGTAAAAATTAGTAAAATATTTTATATAGTTTATATTTTTCGGTTAAAATTCCATAATCGGGCTGAGCGCCAAGCTTGGCGAGAGTTTTTTATTTGGCGCGATTTTAATTTGGTTGTGGTTTCCGGCTGTATGTTTTCTTGTGGTAAACCTAGAGCTATTTCGGTAACTTTAAGAGCGCGAATTTAGTGCAGCCGGATTTTTTTTTAAATTTAATTTTGAAATACTGTTTTGTTTTTAAAAGTTTTACTGTTTAATATTTATGTTATATATATATTTAATATTATATTTATAAATATTTGCAGAAGGGTAAGCTGTTGGTGGTGGGAGAATGTTGGATTTCATATGACATGAAGTTACTAATTTATGAATGTTTTCATTTAATTTTATTTAGTTAATTTTTTAAAGTTTTATTTCTTGTATGTGGCAATCGAAAGATGTGGAATATTTAAAGCTTTGAACGAAGGTTGTTTAGTGTGTTGAATTCCACGACGATAGTAACTTGAAAATTTTAGTTAGTTTATGATTCTGAATACGCATAATCTGCTATTCTGTTTACGTTTAAAACTGACTTCTCAGTACTTTGATCTGATAAGTGTATACTTTTATTTACTCAATATAATTATTTATAAAAATTGTTCATTCGACTATTTTATGATGAATTACATATATATAGTAGGACTATGCTTTTACTTTCAAAGCTGTTGGACTTTGTTTTACTCATCTAGTATTTTATCATCTCATTTTACTATTCTGTTTACATAAAATAACGGCGTTTCACTACTGCAAAACTTAAAAGTTACGGTGCTACTTTGGTAGACGGTTGCACGGATTTTGACGATTTTTTGGCGATTTTCCTTTGGCGAGTAATACAACTTATGGTAAACCCATTGCTGGATAAGTTATTTATGGTAACCGTCTTTGTTGTCATTTATTTAAAAAATAGTGCGTTTTATTGTGCATAAATTCCGTGTTTAGAATATTATTTATGGCTTTTAAATATTAAAAATCGGTGCTACTTTGGTAGGCGGTTGCACGGATTTTTGGCGATTTACTTTGGCGCAATTGTTGGTGCGGTTTTTACAATCGTCAGCCATCTTGAAAAACGCTGTTTTTACGTATTTTACGCATAATGAAGTATTCAAAACTTTAAAAAAAAAATAAATATCGTTAAAAAATGCATTAATTTTTGTTGAAAAATGCTGTTTTTTAAGATGGCAGGCAAATCCAAACAAATGCATTTGCTACGAGTATAAAATACTAAATTAAAGTTAAATTATTACTTTCATATAGCAAAGAAATAGATTAAAACACCATTATAAAAACATTGCTCCAACGTTTAACTGGATTAAAACATTACTTAAATTGAATATCGAATTAAAAACCATCATACCAACATTTAAAAGAATTAAAATATTACTTAAATTCAAATGCTTTAAAATAAAATGCTACGTAAACTAGAGCTAAAATGACAGCAATTAGAAGTTTACTGCCGGTAAAAAAAAGAGGACTGTCTAATACTTTTTTTACCATTACAGCGGTTCTTTCTTCCACTGTGACCACAATACCATATACGGCCGTCCTCAGAATCGGCACTTTTAACGATCTTCATCTGTGATCCACATTTCTCGCCCTTCATCGAAGAAGCAATTAGCGAGTTATCCTCCAAAAATTTAAAATAAATTTCCTCTGACCTTTTTAATAATTTATAAGTAAATCTTTGATTAGGAAAACCAGGCTGGCCAAAATAAGGTCTCAAAGGACAATTTTGTGATTCCGATACCAATAATGCTTGGTACTTACCAATAACAACATTAATCCTTGAAACGGACATATCCGTTCGCCATGAAGAGATGAATTATAAAATTTTAAAATGGCGCGGTTATGCACAAATATTCAGTAACCAATCAGGGAGCTGATTACATCACGCAAAGAATTAAAATTATTTAAATAATCATACATAATAAAATCATTTTTAAAAATGCAAAATTAAATTGCATTTTAATATTTAACAGCCATAAATAATGTTTAAAACATTAGATTAAATTTATAGATATTAAAACCAATTACTTTTAAAGCAAGGTGACATCATTGATTACATCATCCACAACATAAAATTATATAAAATATCATAAATAATACAATTTTTATTTCAAATAAATATGCAAAATTAAATTGATTTTTAATATTTAGAAACCATAAATAATTTTTAGAACACGGAATTTATGCAT